GTGGCGCTGCTGGAGGCCTGTGACGTCACCAACAATGGTCGAATTTTACCAAGAATTAGAAATCAGGTTAAAACCTCAAGAAAGGGTAATTTTTTGTGCTTTACATGAAAAATAACACATAAATAAGCATTTTGGATGATTTTAGCCACAAGATTTACTTTTATTGTTGAAAGAAGGTGAAAAAACATGTATTTTTACCTAAAATTGGCTTGACCACCTGCTGCTTATGACGTCATATCTCGCAACCATAGCAACTGATCATCACTAAACTTGTCTCAAAATGTGCGCAAGAGATGAATGAACAGCTACTGAAAACGTCAGGTACTGATGTTTTATCCTCTAGGAGAAAACTCAGAAAAACCTTATAGGGGGGGGCATCCACCCCCCCGCCCTTGTACGTCCGAGGGTTAAGTTTGACTCTAGCAAATAAAATGACTGAGTAATTAAGCTACCGTTCGACTTTACTCTTCGCTCGTGTACTTAATGGTTTAAAAACATTAGTTAATGACATAAGAATCAAGATCTGATTACGAAATAAAGCCAGCCAAATCGAACCAGAAATTCTATCTGGCCGTTTTCTTTAAGAAATAAAGAAGCCTTGACGGTGCTCTGTTCTGCTGTAATTAGCACGCAGGAAGCGGCTAGAGAACGAAAAACGTGTAGCGGGAAACACGAGATGTAGTCGAATATTTCCTCTAACTTAATTCTTGAATGCTTTAAAACGGATTAAAGAACCTTACAAGTAAGCCTATATCTTCTAGAAGATCAATCACTACGTTGTTTAGAGCGGACGTTTATGAGATCACAGCCAATTTTGCCTAAAGGATTAGCAGGTGATGGACTTCTTTGGCTTTTTCTGTGTTGTTTAAACCAACCCCCAACGTTTTCACCGGTTATTTTTGTTTTGGTCAATTTGGTGGCCAGAGTCCAAGTGGCTGAATTTGGCTAAATTTCGTGATATACAGCTCCTTTAAGTTTCAAAGCGTGAGTAGTGAGTTTTGATCCGTTGCTTTCATGGTAATATCCTAATTGAAATATATGTTTTTTATACTAAAACAGTGGATAGTGTTTTTCGCGCGCTCTGATTGGCTACTCAATCAGTGACTATCCTGCACTATTCACTGATTCACCTCCAGGCCTCCGAGCGAGCGACACCAATCTCGCGTAGGTTTCGAGCAAATGCTGCTGTAACAAACAAAGAAGTTTCACAACTAATCAAGCAAGCTGTTCCCGAAATACACGGATGAGGTGAAGCTTTACCTTTTGGACTTGAATCTATCGATAAAACCGGTGAAAAAGTTTTTTGTTTAGAAATGCAAATTAAGCCCAAGTCTTGCGTTACTTTATTTAGATGACTTGTTCGCGGCCTGGGTAAATATCCACGAAGCCTAGTATATGTTTTAGTATATATTTAAACATATACTAGGCTTCGCGGCCTGGGTAAATAACCACGAAGCCTAGTATATGTTTTAGTATATACTAAAACAGTGGGAACACAAAAATGATTTTTTTTTTACTCATTTACTGACTACGGTAGTCCATCATTTTCCTCAAGGATAGTAGAGCGAACGAAACACGCGAGCGCGCGTTGAAACCGCCACCCGCGAGAAAGGTGACACAAGCCTCGCCTCTCCTTGCGCCTGGCAAATTTCACGCGCGCTCGCTTGAATGGGCTTTATTAGCGGGGCTCTCTTCGTTTGGTTGTCACGTGATTGATCGAGCGTACGCGTCTACAGATTGTACGGATGGGGTAGGGGAGACTATCAAAAGGAAGGGAGGGATGTCTTAGGCGTGTCTTGGCAAGTCCAAGTCTTGTATATTGGACATTCACAATATGGTCAATTGACAGCTGTCAAAACAGGATAGCCACTGACCAGTGTCACATGACCATATCGCGGGCTCATATGTCAACTCATCGAGGTGACGTGATTTATTTGGAAGCTGTCCGCTGACCAGTTAATTGTTTTACTAGATCGCGATCAATATTCAATTTCATACTTTCTAGCTAGTCTGGGAGCACAGGAAAACTGAAAATACACACATATTGGGCATCAATGTTGTCATCAATTGAAAGCTGTCAAAACAGGGTATCCGCTGAGCAGTATTACTTGATCGTATCGCTGGCTCAGGTGACGACCCACCGAGGTCAACTTTTTTGAAGTTATCCGCTGACAGGTTACTAGTTTTCAAATGATCCCAGGCTCAAGTTTAAGTTTTTAAAATTCATATGAAATATGTTGTGTTTTTGTGCCGCACAATTAAAATTTTGATTTCAAACTGACCCCGGACGTGAAAATCCAGTCAGCTATTGCAGGCAGGGAAGACATTTCCTTTTGACTTTGCTCACCATGGTCACACTGTACGTCCAATTTTTATGCCCTGATTGGTCAAAATTTGACAGGTGAGTTCATGCGGAAAGTTTACGCAGCAACTTGAAACTTGTTTTCTTTGACAGCTGAAGATGACAGAGTTTTGTGTCAACTTGTGATGTTTTTAACTGTCTGTTTCCACTGGATGTACAAAATGAAATTCAGCTGCTATCAGGAATCTTCTGTTATTCATGGCTAGTTTGTTTCTTGGGTTTTTGCTTGAGAAATAAGTCACTTGTCGAAGTCGGAAATCCGATTTCGGATGGCATAGTTTTCGTTTTTCACCTTGCTTGATGCGTAATGCACCTATCAATGGTTTGCCCCAGGATGGTGGAAGGGTATGGCGTACATTTGCGGACAAAAATAATTGAAAACAAAAGACAATTTGAAGTTCAAAAATTAGACTATCCATGTCGAAATCTCGTCATATGAATTTGAAATTGCAATGAACGCAGTCGAAATAGCATCATTCGAACTTGAAGTTACTTTGAACAAGTTGGAACTATATAGGGTAAACTCGACATCGTGGATGTTGAAGTTCAAATCACCATTCCAACTAAAATGCAAATTACATGATTTGAACTTCAATTCACCTTCTCCACTCTAATAAGCCACTTAATCGTCAACAATGCAACCATAATCTTCCACAAAATTCCAAATGAAACCTTTAATTTGAACTTAAAGTCACGTCACATATTCGAATTCGAAAAACCAAAATTTCAATTCGAAAGGAAGCGGAAGTAAAAATAGACAGCAACCGGAAATGATAAGAGTTTCGCTACATTGTACATACGGGATGTTTGCATAACCGCATTTTGGCGCGAAAAGATTTCCCTTCACTCGAACTCTCTGGTCAATATGGCGGACAATGTAAATGACAAGGGTGACTCTGGGACAATCCAACAGATTCTGAGGGCTGTAGTGGCAAACTAAACTTTATAAAAGGAGAAGCGTTAAGGTTTCTCAGAACAAATTACTCTCAATTTACTTTTGAGGAAAACATGAGCAATTTCAAAACACGCCTGCAGAGTAGAGATTACTCAGCTAGAATTTTAGAGAAACACCTTTCAGAGATTAAATTCTCTGATAGAGAAATGTCGCTAGCGCAGAAAATGCTGCCCTTTGTAACACAATACTGTTAGCAGAGTTGACAAAGTTCTCTGGTGCATGGTGAGCATCAAGTCGACGAAATAAAAATTCAGAATTATCGTATGATGCTGAGTTTAGATTAGTTTCTGATGCCTCAAAAAGTCTAACCAGTCCAACGAAAAACTCTTCGTTGTTCGGTAGCCATCGAGCAGCCATGACGATGATCACATCAGAGATGAGGAAAGCTCAGGTTCCAAGCCTCCCATCCGTAGACTCGTACCTAGTCGTCACTCGGTTTCTGTGTATTTTTACTTCCGCTTCCTTTCGAATTGAAATTTTGGTTTTTCGAATTCGAACATGTGACGTGACTTTAAGTTCAAATTAAAGGTTTCATTTGGAATTTTGTGGAAGATTATGGTTGCATTGTTGACGATTAAGTGGCTTATTAGAGTGGAGAAGGTGAATTGAAGTTCAAATCATGTAATTTGCATTTTAGTTAGAATGGTGATTTGAACTTCAACATCCACGATGTCGAGTTTTCCCTATATAGTTTCAACTTGTTCAAAGTAACTTCAAGTTCGAATGATGCTATTTCGACTGGGTTCATTGCGATTTCAAATTCATATGACGAGATTTCGACATGGATAGTCTAATTTTTGAACTTCAAATTGTCTTTTAATTTCAATTATTTTTGTCCGCAAATGTACGCCATAGGTAAGACGGCTGTATTCGCAGGCTAACAAACGGGACTTGTTTAACGCCCAGGCGTGGATGATCTATCCCGTATAAAGAGTTCGATGACAGGGCTAAGACCTCTGTTACGAGTTTTCCGTTTATCACCGCTGCTATAGAAGAGTTATACAACCGTCTAGAATAGGATTGAGTTTTATTACTCATACAGCGGTAAAACAACAGGCAGAATAACCTCGTGTTAATCAAATGTATCACAAGCTCAAAAACCTCGTACGCCTTAATAAACAACACTACATGTAAATGATGCCACAGGCTTTACGCAGTTTGTACACAGTACGGACCTATATACCGTAAGCACCACAAGATAGTAAGACGGAATCCATCAGGAATTTGAGTAATTTTAGTGGACAAAAACCTTGTACCAGAATAATTCAAACAATATTGCATTCATTTGTATATTTTTCACGGACTAAAGATGTAATAAATCATTTGTGGTAACACCAAAGAAAATTTCTCATGGAAGTCCGAGAATATGGACGTCAAATTTCAGAAGAATTGTGATTACACAGGTAAAATTCTGAAAATTTCACGTGTAAGATGTAATTTGGTGCTCCCATAATAAATTTCTTTTGGTGTTAATACAGATGATTTATTACATCTTTAGCCATTGAAAAATGTAAGAAAGAATGCAATATGCTTTAAATTATTCTGGTACAAGATTTTTGACCATTGAAAATCAAAATTACTCAGTGTCCTGGTGGATTCCGTCGTAAGTTGCTATCAGATATGACATATGCATGAACAGCAGCCATGTCTGCTTGGTGTCCCTGTACGTTTCTGCGCGTTTCT